CTCCTAGATGCAAGCAATCCTCCCAGCTCAGCCCCCCAAGTTCTTAGGGCTACAGCACACACCACCACACTTGGCTAATTTTCATTTTTTGTAGAGATGGAGTTTCATCATGATGGTCAGGCTGGTCTCGAACTCCTGACCTCGTGATCCACCCGCCTCGGCCTCCCAAAGTGCTGGGATTACAGGCTTGAGCCACCGCACCCGGCCACGAAAAAATTTTATTTTATTTATCTTTTTTTTTTTTTTAAAAGATGGGGTTTCATCATGATGGTCAGGCTGGTCTTGAACTCCTGACCTCAGGTAATCCACCCACCTCGACCTCCCAAAGTACTAGGATTACAGGCGTGAGCCACCGTGCCCGGCCGAGATTTATCTTTTCTGGAAACAGTGTCTCACTCTGTCGCCCAGGCTGGAGTGCAGTGGTGTGATCTCAACTCACTGCAACCTCCACCTTCCAGGTTCAAGTGATTCTCATGATTCAGCCTCCCAAATAGCTGAGACTTCAGGCAACACCACACCTGGCTAATTTTTGCATTTCTCGTGGAGATGGGGTTTCACTGTGTTGACCAGGTGGGTCTTGAACTCCTGACCTCAAGCGATCTGCCCGCCTTTGCCTCCCAAAGGCCAAGGGGATTACAGACATGAGCTATAGCACCTGGCTTAAACTTTTTATTATAAGAAAATTCCCGACACATACTAAGATCAGAAAATAATATGCTGAACTCCCCGGTATTCGTTATCTAGGTACAGCTGTTAGCAGCTCATAGCTGGTCTTGACTTTCCTCCGTTATTTCCCCTTACATCTGGGTATTTCGAAGCCTGTCCCTGCCATCCTGTCATTTTCCTGTAGATTTCCAGCGTTCACCGTGTTTGACTTCTTGAGGTTGAGGCATGACCTGCATGTAGCAAGCTGTGTGAAGGGCTGTTAGTTTGTGTGAGTGGCTCAAAGAGCTTTTCCATGTGTGTTATGCCTGTGTGACCTCGCCAGGGTCAAAGCCTGGGGAGTCAGTGTGCCCCCAAAGGCAGCGGGGCCCCTTTCCGTTGGTGCCTGCCTCCCTGCCAGCTACAGCTGGGTCTGTTATCTGAGGACATGGTTCACTGGGTTTCACTTACTCTACATGCATTTCACAGCTCTTCCTTGTGCAGCTGCCGGGGTCACCAGTGAATAAGACCAAAATAGTAATTTTTAGTGGTTTTTTTTTTTTTTTTTGAGACAGTCTTGCTCCGTTGGCCAGGCTGGAGTGCAGTGTCGTGATCATGGCTTACTGCAGCCTCTGCCTCCTATACCTCGGACTACAGGCACGAGCCATACTGACCAGGCCCGGCGGCTCATTTATTTGTATTTATTTTTATTTTTTTGTAGAGATGGTGTTTGCTCTGTTGCCCAGGCTAGTCTTGAGCTCCTGGGCTCAAGCAATTTTCCAGCCTTGGTCTCCTGAAATGCTAGGATTACAGGTGCGAGCCACCGCGCCTAGTGTAAATGGTTACCTGTAAAGAACAGCTGGCACCCTCGTGAGCGTCCCGTGTTGAGACTGTCTCAGCACTGTGTATATGAGCTCATGTAATCCTCATAATAAGCCTACAAAGAAGGGGCAGTTATTCCTACAGCTGAGGAAAACGAGGTACAGAAAGGTTTGGTGATTTGCCCAAGGTCACACAGCTTGGTTGTAGCCAAATCAGGATGAGGTTTGTGCACTGGGGTGCATTTGCAGCCTAAGAGGGCTGTCTGCACACATCATCTCTGATCCTCAGATGACCCTTTAGAGAGGTGGGAGGTGTTGGAAGCTCCTTTCCTCCCCAAACTGGTGTCACCCAGCAAGCTGGCATTCAAACCAAGGGTGCTAGACTCCGGAACTCCGTCCGCCGCTGTGGCCTGGCTTCCATTCCTCTCTCCTTCAAGTCTCCTTCTTGCTTTGCTGCCATCTTTGCTCTGAGCAGCTGCTGACGACCCAGCGGGTGAGCTGCGCCCACATCTACAGTGCCCTAGACCCGACGGCCCGCAAGATCAACCTCGCCAAATTCACACTTGGCAAGTGCTCCGCCCTCATCGTGACTGACCTGGCCGCCCGTGGCCTGGACATCCCACTGCTGGACAATGTCATCAACTACAGCTTCCCCGCCAAGAGCAAGCTCTTCCTGCACCGCGTGGGTAAGCAGCCGGGGGCTGACTCTGTGGCAGGCAGGGGTGCCGGTTCCCAGCAGATGCAAAACCCCTGCCACTGCGTGTGGGGTGGCTGTGAGCTTTTTTTGTTGTTGTTTTGAGATAGACTCTTACTCTGTTGCCCAGGCTGGAGTGCAGTGGCGCAGTCTCGGCTCACTGCAACCTCTGCCTCCCAGGTTCAATCGATTCTCCTGCCTCAGCCTCCTGAGCTAGGATTACAGGCGCCTGCCACCGTGCCCAACTAATTTTTTAATTTTTAGTAGAGATGGGGTTTTACCATATTGGCCAGGCTGGCCTCGATCTCCTGACCTCATGATCCACCCGCCTCTGCCTCCCATAGTGCTGGGATTACAGGCGTGTGCCACCATGCTGGGCCACTGTGAGCTTTTTTTAGAGCCAGAGTTTTGCTGTATTGCTCAAGCTGGTCTCAAACTCCCAGTTGCATGCTGCACTCCAGCCTGGGTGACGGAGTGAGACCTTCTCTCAAAAAAAACAAGAAAATTCAATTATTCAGCTTCTGGGTTTTGTTGACTTTACAGTGGCACGCAGGCAACCATTCTATTTTTTTCTTCTAGTACAGTATTCAATAAGTTGCATGAGATATTCAACACTTTATTTCAAAATCGGCAGCGTGTGGGTTGACTTTGCCCGAGGGTAGGGTAGGCTAATGGAAGGATTTGGAGCGTGCTCAAGGCAGACTGGCTGAGCTGTGATGTTCCCTGGGTTAGGGGCATTGAGTGCACTTTCTAAGCTGTGGCAAATAGACATAGTGTGTGGTTCACCATTGTGCCATTTCCCAGTGCGCAGTGCAGTGGCACTGAGTCCACTCACGTTGTGTACAACCGTCACATCTGTCCCCGAACTTTTGTGTGTGTGTGATAGAGTCTCGCTCTGTCTCTGAGGCGGGAGCACAGTGGCGTGATCTCGGCTCACTACAGCCTTTGCCTCCTGGGTTCCAGCTATTCTCTTGCTTCAGCCTCCCGAGTAGTTGGGATTACAGGTGCTTGCCACCACGCCCAGCAAATTTTTTTTTGTTTTTAGTAGACACGGTGTTTTGCCATGTTGGCCAGTCTGGTCTTGAACTCCTAACCTCAAGTGATCCACCCGTCTCAGACTCCTAAAGTGCTGGGGTTACAGGCATGAGCCACTGCGCCCAGCCCCAGAACTTTTTCATCTTGCTAAACTCAAGCCGTACTCATCAGACAAAATCTCCTTATGTCCCTCCGCAGCCCCTGGAAACTGTCATTTTTTCTTTGCCTTCTTTTAATTCATGAGTGTCACGTGGCAGGCGCACTTCCCCCTTGTTGCTGTCTGCTGTTCTCTAGTTTTCGTTGCTGTGTGGAGGGCTGGTTCTGCATGTCCCTAGAGAGGTCCCCAGGGCCCCCCAAAGGGAGCTGCTTGTGCATCACAAGACCAACAGCGCCGGTCGTACAATCTCAAATGAAATCATTAAATGTTGTAACACCTTGTTTTCCCAAGATACAGAGAGAAACCAAAATGTAATGATATGTAGGGACTTCTTTACTTTATGCAAAATTACAATCATATTGGGTGCTCTTTTTTATAACTTGCTTTTTGTTTTGTCTTCACATCACCATACATCATGAATGTTTTTCGTTGACTGTAAAATGTCATTCTGTGATGGATTGGCACTTCTTTTCTGTAAGGGGCTAGACATGAAATGTTAGGCTTTGTGGACCATACTGTCTCTGTCATAACTGTTCCTCTCTGCTGGTGTCGTGTGAATGCTGCCTGTTCATTTGCATAGATAACATATAAACAAATGAGTGTGGCTGTGTTCCAATCAATCTTCATTTACACAGACAAGCAGGGGGCCAGGATCTCACTCTGTTGCTTGGGCTCTAGTGCAGCGGCATGATCATAGTTCATTGTAAGCTTGAACTCCTAGATGCAAGCAATCCTCCCAGCTCAGCCCCCCAAGTTCTTAGGGCTACAGCACACACCACCACACTTGGCTAATTTTCATTTTTTGTAGACAGGCTGGTCGCGAACTGCTGGCCTCAAGCGATCCTCCCGCCTCGGCCCCTCAAACGCTGTGGTTCCAGGCGTGAGTCACAGGCCTGGCCCTGTAGGCTGTAGTGTGTTCGCCCACTCTTTTCCTAAGCTGCTGCTTTCCCACCACCACGTGGCCATCAGCTAATTCACTTAACCAGCCCTCGATCCTGGAGCCTTTAGTGTCCAACTTGGGGCTGTCCTAGTCCGGGCTGCACTAAACCTCCTTGTGTGTGAATCTTTGTGTCTTTGGGGGAGTTCTCACAGCGGGGACACTGAAGAGTTTGGACCGTGCTCACGAGCAGGGCCTTGCTGTATTTTTGCTCCTCTCCCAGAGCACCATGTCAGCATGGACGGACTCTCTCAGATCGACCCAGGGACCGGGATTGAACTTCCCTGTGTGTAGGTGGGGACAGCAGCTCTGTGAGGTTCGGGGCCTGGCCGGGCTCGGGCTCACTCGCTCAGCGAGTTTTTTTTTTTTTTTTTTTTTTT